GTCCCCCCGGGCTGAGCTGAGTCCTGTCCTGATCCTGCCTCTCCAAACAGCTGCAGTGCTACCCTCAGCTGCCTCCAGTGCAGCTCCCATCCCTCTGCAGGACTACCCCAAGGTGGCCACGGTGACAGCCAAGCCAGGTTAAGCTCTGACTGGGGGCACTTTCAGCCTTTAAAGCTGTACTGCTGTTCCCGGCAGTTTCAGGTTGTGGCAATGCAGGAAGCGGCTAGCTAACAGGAAAAAGGGGATGTAACCAGAAAATAGCCCAGTTAGCACACTCTTAAGCAGGTCATCTAGCAAGTTGTCTCTGTGTGCCTTTGAGAAGCTGGGAGTGGTTAATGTGACACTGGGATGTCACATTACCGAAGCAGCTGGAAAGGAACTGAATAAAGCTTAGCTGGAGATGCTTCCCCTGCAAGGCAGATCTCTGGTGAGGAACACACCCCAAGGAAGGGTTCCAGAGGGTCCCACCACGGCTGACACAGCACGGACACAGCACGGACACATCCACCCTCTAGAGCCTCCCCTGGAGCCTCCCTGCCCACCTGGGCTCTCCAACACAAGGTAGGCACTGCAATTAAAGTCATTATCCACGACCACCTCTCCAGGCAAGCACAGGAACACAACCTGTGATACCCAGACAGCTCACAGGGTCACCTCACAGCTCTGTAAGTCCTGCACACAGATTTTAAACTCCCAATCCCCCCAGGCCACCCTGTGCCAGTAAGTGGAAGACAAGCAGCACTTCACCATATGGGGAAAGTCCTTCCCATGCTCCAGTACAGGCAACCAGCTCGGCTCTCAAGCCCAAAAGGGGTCGCAGCACTTGTCAAGCACAAAAATAAAGGAGAAACAAAGCAGAAAATATGCATCTTATCCTCATTCCTCCTCTTGGTCTACTGCTTCCAACTACTTCATCTGCCTTCTGCACTCAGACACCAAGATATTCCCACCTACTTCAGATGACAGAACAACTGCTGTGAACTCTGTCCCACAAGGAACTAACTTATTTAGCTCCTCTTTCGAGTGTCCAGTGTTTCGATTTTAGCCTAACCACTTCTTTTTCTTCTGCTTCATTACCCTCCCACTTTAGAGATGATGAGGGGAAAAGTCCTCCGTGTAAATCCTTCTTGGAATTTCAATAGCAAGAGTCTTGCCACAGATACCAGCATGCTTCTGGGAATGAGGCAACGCTGCAGACAGGGATGGCTGCAATCCCAACAACTGGATCTAAGGACCAATAGGAATACAAAGAAACTCCAATGTCATAGGCATTTTGAGCTTTCCCAGCATACAAACATCCCAATATACTTATCAAGTTCTAGATGAAAGTATTTCAATTCCCTCCTGTCCTGCTGGAAGGAGTGGGAAGCCTGATCTCCTGCCCTATCACTGATTAATGTGTGCAGGATGATTTCCATACTTTTGTGTTCTTGTGCCAATGGTTTTTTAACTTAAACTTCTCCAGTAGTCACTCTTGCTTTCAGTGTTGGTTGGGGTTCATATCAGCCATCAACCACACACGCAATACAATGACTGTAAGCCAATTACTGCCACTAGAAAGAAATGCTCTTGTCAGATATGGTTAATTTATAGCTGTTTCCCATATTTTTAAAATATGCTTCATTCCCCTCATTTTTAATGTGGATATTTGAATAGACAGTCTGCCAGTTCAACTTGATCTCAATGCTGGTTCTTCCTTCCACTCCCTAGCCAAAGACTCAAGGAGCAGGGGTTAGAAAACAAGGTGCTTTGCTTTTTACAAGACTGGACATATACCTGCACACACAAACAGGAACCTGCTCAAAAAATAGCTACAAACTAGGTGAATACTTAGGTGTGGCAAGGAAGTAGCCTACTTTTTTATCCTGGGATACAGATTGAGACCTGATAGCACATGCAAATCTAATCCTGGAGGAGGAGCCTACGTTCAGAATCGCTCTGAAATCACAATCAACGCTTCGTTTGAGAAGCTTTTCAAAGCAAATAAAAACACCCAGTCCAAGACTTTGGACTCCATCCACAGGATCTGGCTGTGATTCGGGGTGAGTTCACCTGGAAAGCCCTGGAGACAGAGCTACATGCTCGCTCGGGAACCTGGCTCAGAGCGAGCCATTTAGGGATATGGAATGTTTCCAAAATCAATACTGTGGTGTTGTGGAAGAGGTCTGATTACAAACTGCCTGTTCCTTACGTAACAAAAGCTGTTTCCTGAAGTGAAGCTTTTGGGAAGAAATTGGCTGCATCTACATTACCAAGAGGTAATTAGTGGAGCCCTAGAGCCCAACAGCTGCTGCTGCACAGCTCGGTGGTCTCTGTCCCATAGTGTTTACCCCAAATGGCTCCAGTCTGAGCCACAAGCACCCATGGAGCAGTGGAAGTGCAGGGATCCTTCCTTCCTTCCTTAAAGGGTCATCTTCCATGTCTGTCTCACTTGCTCCAGCTTTCTTTTTCCACCCTTTAATTTTTATTTCACAGAATCCCCAGGAACACTGAGGTTGGGAAAGCCCTCTAAGGCCAAGGAGTCTGAGCTGTGCCCAGTCCTCATCTTGTCCTCTTGTCAGAGCCCTGAGTGCCACCTCCAGAATTCCTGGGACACCTCCAGAGATGGCCACTGCAAAACCTCCCTGGGCAGTGCCAATCCCTGAGCCCCCTTTCCATGGGGAAATTCCTGCTGGTCCCACCCTGAGCTCCCCTGGGCCAGCCTGAGGCCGTTCCCTCTCCTCCTGGCCCTGTTCCCTGGAGCAGAGCCCAGCCTGTTCCCATTTCCCACCTTGGCCATGGTGTCCCTTGCCCAGCGGGTCCCAGGAGGGTGGCAGGGACAGAGATCAGCACCCTGGTGCTCACACCCTGTGCTCCCAGCAGCTGCAGCAGCATACCCACCATGACACAGCTAATCCCTGCAAAAATCAAGGGGCCAACTACAACCACGAGGCCAAGGACACACCGTGGCTGAGTTAATCTGTACATCCAGGCTGGCAGAGCTCTGGTTGAGACTGAGGGTACCCAGCCCATCAAAAGGCAAAAGAACTCCCCAGGTCCCATCTGCCAGCACACAAACAAGCACCAGCACAAGAAGATATTGCCTAAGTGAGCTACTTGCAAATGCCAAGCCCTGTTTTGAAACCATCAACTATGAGTGGAAGGTAAAAGTCACAACTGCAAACTGACAGAAGAAAACCCACATTTCTTTCAAATGTTTGCTAAAGCTTGCAGAGACTTGTGTGGAGACAAAGCAGGCAGCAGCAAGGAACCCTTAGGAGCTGTCCTTTGGAAAACTGCTCTGCATGAATGGCCTCTGCACTGACCACATCCTGCCAGCTTCCTACATTCCTGTCAGGGACAGCCAGCAGGTAGAATGGATCTCTAGAGAAAATACTGCATCATGGAGTAAGGTCTAGTTCACAACGTTGTTATTATTACTGTGGTCCTGTGCACACACATAATTAAGCAAAACAAAGTGTAAATCCATATATATATACAACCAAAGTAATGCTACAAATTAGACACAAGGGGTGTGAATCATTTTTTATGCACACTCGTGTCTACTCAAAACTTCCATCCAACCTCAGACTAAGTAAACTGCAAATGCCTAATGTTAAAATGAATAATATTCTGGTTATTGCTATTGAAGGGGCAATACTGGAATTTGCTTTACCTATTAACACAGAAAGATCCTGAACTATCAGACCAAGTCTTTACTGCCTAATCAGTCACTGCTCATTACTGAAAATTCCTGAAGAACTGTAACCATGAATAAGGGAGGAAAAGAAAAAGGTGGAAAGTAGCAGGGAAGAGAAGAAAATTAAACTCCTTTGGAGGGGAGCAGAGCCCCTGCTTCCCTGCAGCAGGTGAAAGGAGCTGCACACCTGTACTACCTGTTCACAGTAACGGGAGAAGTCAAGGAGGGAGTAAATCCGGCTGCTTTTGGACCCAGGCTCTCCACACACACATTCACATCTTTTCCTGCAGAATTAGGCACACAAACATTTACTGCCTGCTCAACAGAGGTAAGAACTCAGAGAAGTTTAGGACACCAAGCAACAGTCCCAAGAGAACAGTCAGCGGAAGTAATAACTTACTTTCATTTTACAAAGTTCAGTGTATCTACGGCTGTGCTATTTTTACCAAGAATTCTGGGGGTTTTTTTTATAATGGGAGGCGCTACTTCTATCAGCTCCATTGAAGAAAAAAAATATATTTAATGAACCTGTAACCTCCTTATTTATTATATACAGAAACCTACAGGCACACAGCAGCTGTCTGGGACAGGGAGACACTGAGGCTGGACCTCTCGCTGTGGGACATTCTCAGGGAGCACAGGGATGACCCGCACATGGGACAGCTGCCAGGGGCTCTGCACCACTTCTGTAAAACTGCCACACTCTCTTTTTTTTTTTTTTTTTTTTTTTTTTTTACATTTTCTTTTTCCCTTCAAAAGGCTTAAATAAAACAGGGGGAGGAGGCTGACTGCACTTGGAAGTGAAAGCTGCTGTGTAAGATCATGGAATCATGGAATGGTTTTGGTTGGAAGGGCCCTTAAAGCCCATCTCATCCCACCCTGCCATGGCAGGGACACCTTCCACTGCCCCAGGTGCTCCCAGCCCTGTCCAGCCGGCCTTGGGCACTGCCAGGGATCCAGAGGCAGCCTGTGCCAGGGCCTGCCCGCCCTGCCAGGAAGGATTCCTTCCCAATATCCCATCTACCCATGCCGTTCTCGAGCCTTACACATGGAATGATGAAATCCCAGAATGGTTCGGGTGGGAAGAGAGCTTGAAGATGCTGCGGCGCCAGCCGCGCTGTGCCGGGCGCTCAGCGCTGTCCAGCCTGGCCGGGACGCTGCCAGGGGCCAGGGCAGCTCCTCGCACAGGGCAGGCTGCGGAGGAGAGGCGGGCAGCACGCGTGGGTTTGGGTTTACACTGCACGGCAGCGCAGCGCTCGCCCCGGCCCCGCTCCCTCCATCCCGCCCCGAGCCCGCTCCGACGCGACCCCGCGGCACTTACTGCGGGAGCGAGCCGCGTCCCTCTGCGGGCTGCTCGGCGGGACACGGCGGCGCGGAGCGAGGGCGGCTCCGTCCCCGCCCGCCCTCCGCCTGCAGCAGCCAGCCCGGCTCCCCGGGCTCCGCCTCGGCCCCGCCGGCACCTCCCCGCCCCGCTGCCGCCCGGGGCCGCCGAGCCCCGCCGAGGCCCGCGGAGCGCCGCCGCTGCGGCCTGCGCCCGCGGGAGGGGCCCGCCGCGGCCTCCTCATCCCCGGCCTTGCGTGACGGGGGTCGCCGCCCAGGGCCGCCCCTCCCCGGGCTGCGCCGGCGGCGGCGGTGCCGGAGGCCTCCGGCCCGCGCGTGGGGCCCGGCTGCGCCGCCCGCGCGGCTGATGCTGCTCTGCAGCTGTCTGGGTGTCATTGCAAGCCACTAAACAACTGCAAGGATTGGATTTCGTGAGTTCTGCAAAGTCAGTGATATTCAGTCACTGGTGATGGGAGCGGTGTTTATCCCAGGAACATCAGTGCTCGTAAAAGGGGCTAAGACCTCGAGGGGCAGCTGCAATTAGTAGATACTCTGGCTTAGAAGCTGTCAACTGAAGAGAAAGACTTGAAAATAAAGGGAAAATACCAGAAAATTATTCATTGTTTTCTAAGGATGTGGTTTTAGGATGTGTGTTTTTTGGAGCATGTGAGAACGGAAGAAGAATAATTGGGATTAAAAAAAATAAAAAGGAATTTAAATGCAGTTTGTGGCGAATAATTTCAGCATGATCCAACACACACAAGTTCTAGATGAGAATGCCTACCCCATATACATGTTGCAGCATGGCACTAGATGTTTCATCCATCTCTAACAAATAATTGTTAGAGCTAGGAATAGGAAAATCCCATGTCCAACCAGCCCTCAAAGTGGTTGTCTACCCAGGTGTAGCTGCACTGTCAGTGTTAATATATGACAAATTTTAATTGATACAGGAATTTATGAGTGCAAATTATAGCCGTTTTCCAAGTGAACATATTCTGCACCCCAGCACTGCTGTGTCTCATCAACTTTTTCCAACCTGCAAAATCTTGAAGGGGATAGAAAATTAGAGCGTTATACTATTCTCCTCATAAAGGGAAAATGAAAACTTTGTAAAGATCACATTTCCCAGGCAATCTCACTTTGCAGGAGAGGTTCTCCCCGTCGTCACAGTGCAGCTACCAATAAACAAGGATGGGCTGTTCTCTCTCCAGTCTTTTTATCTTAGTTACTGATTGTTTAAGATTTGGCTTCATAAGTTTGAAGAGTGAAAGTTTTACAAGGTTAAGTAAAAAAATGAGATGCCTGAAAGTATTGCAAAATTCATCCCTCTCAAGTCTGATTTTTATTTAATGCCTGGATGAAAATATTACCTCCAGAGTAAGTCTCCGTGCGTGTGGCTTGGTCCCCGGGACACCTGCCAAGACAGGAATTTCAGATGCCCGAAATCATGTGCTCAGCAGGTGTAAATTGTGTGCAGGGAGAGTTCACCTTTTGTCCTCAACCCCAGAGGCAGTTTCTCTTCATTAGCAAGGGAAGATGGGGAAAAAGATCATCATCGTTTCCTGACTGCATGCCAAAGTTATGTATCATAAGAAGAAAATCTGTTCATACGTTCACAAATACGTTTTCTGCTAATCAGTCTTCAGGAAAATGCCTTTGTGAGGAGCAGGGGTGGTGGCAGTCGCAGGAGAGCTGGGACAAAGGGACAGAAGCAGATGCAGAGTTTCTCCGCTGGATTTTCCAGCAGGATCCCCGGTAGGTCCTGCCTCTGGACAATGCAGGTGGTGGCTGTGGGCAGGCGTTTCGGGGCTCCCATCCCCGGCTGTCCCTGCGTTCAGCCTGCAGCCAGAGCGGAGCAGGACGTGCTGCTGCTGCTCAGGGATTTCCCTACACTGCAGCACATCAATCCAGCCTGTGTCTGAGGCAGAGAAAGGGGCTGGTTCTTCTGTTGGGATGTGTTAGCGCTGTAATCACGTCTGATTGATTGCTGTCCCATCGAGATCCCACACCAGGGCTGAGCCGCAGAAACAAATGCAAAAATTGCACTTTTAAAAGAACAAGGTCACGGGTCACGTTATTTGTAGCAGGACAAACACCATAATTAATTGGCCTCTCCGTGCAATGGCAGCACAGGAGGGAATGGAAGGAAGGGATGTGGAGCATCCGTGTTTTTGTGGGGCAAGTGGCCGAGCTGGGTCTGATGGACAACATGAATTCCGCTGGTAAAGAAAATAAGAACAGTATCTTTGAGAAAGCAAGACTGCTTGGAGTAGTCAGGAGTAGTTATTTTCTCTTTGAATGTTTAAGGAGCTTTGTTGTGGCAGGAAATATGAAAAAAAAACCCTATTCAATTTATTTTCTGTACATGTGCTGGAGCGAGAGATTGTATTCAGCTAAAGCAAGGCAAAAAGCTTTTCTGTATTTGTGCTGTATTATTTTTTTTCTCTCAATGACTGATGAAAACAGCCCTGGTGACTGCACATGTCTGCTGTTTATCCAGGTATTTTCTCCATTGGATTGATTAGGAAAAGCTTAGAAGCCCTCTTCAAAGACATCTACAGTGACTTTTTAAAATTCCCAGCCTAGTATCCTATAATGAATAAATCCAGGATTTGAAATGCCCATTTCCCTGGCATTGCCTGCCTGATGGCTTTCTTTTGGGACACTTTAGGCAGGATCCGGGATGAACGGTTTCAGGGTGTCCATGCATTTATAAGGAACTTGCGGATTGCCAGCAACATCATCAATAATTGTGCTGGGAAAAGTTATTTTAAATAACCACATGCATCATTGTCAATTTGGTTTCAGTGACCTTTTGTGATCCAGAACTATTCCATTGAAAAAGAAAGGATATTGGAAAATCCCTGAGAGGCTGGTATGTGGAACAATCAGCGTTCCTGGATGGGAGTGGCTCCTCTCCCCGGCCGAAGGGCAGGGATATCTCACCCCGTTTTCCCTCAGCACCATTTGGACCACGCCAGCCACGCTGTACCTTCCCTGGAATTTCAGATTATGCTTTTTCATCTACTGAAATATTCCTCCCTGCAGATTTAAATAATTAATTGGGACGTGCCTAGTGGGTCTGGAGCTAAACTTCAGGAAGGCAGCAGATATGTGTGACCAAGTGACCTTTTGCTGTCCTGCTCGTCCCCGCGCGCTCACTGTGCTCAAAGGGACGCTGTCAAAATTGCTAGGCCTTAAAACTTTAACCCGCACTGACAAGTTGTTCTACATTATAAGTCTTCCCTAAAAGATTACCACGATTGTTTTGTTTGTTTTGTTCCAACCATCTTTGCTGAGGGCTCCACAATGCGGATTCATTTGTCCTTTTGGGTAGGTGGATATTTTTAAATGCCCGGCTTATTCCGTGACCTGTTAAAATCGAGTTGATGTGCGTGTGCTCCACTCAGTGGAGAACTTGCCAGGGATGGAGCAATTTCTCTGCACTCTGGAAGAGGAGGCAGGAACATGCTTGGGAAGCCTTCATGGAGAGGCTTTGAGAAGCCATTTTGAAAGGCCTCTTGTTATCTTCAGTGCTTTGGAAGGCTTGACTGGGCTTGCCTGGTGATGCAAAGTGGTGTGTGTGTGTTAGTGAAACACCAGCTGGTTCTTACACAGGGGTTTGCTTCTTTCATGGTGCTCTGATTCACTCACTGGCCTTTATTTCTAAGATCTCCATTTACAGTATCACAGAATCCCTGATGTTGGAAAAGGCCTCCAAGACCATCGACTCCAAGTTGTGCTCGATGCCCACCCTGTCCCCAGCCCAGAGCCCTGAGTGCCAGGTCGTGGAATTCCTTGGACACCTCCAGGGATGGGCACTCCAAACCTTGGGCAGCCTCTGCCAAGGCCTGACCACTCTTTTGTAAAGAAATTCTTCCTGAATTTCTAAAAATTTTCAGCCTGCTGTCCCCCCTGAGCTCCCCTGAGCCAGCCTGAGGCTGTTCCCTCTCCTCCTGTCCCTGTTCCTTGAAGCAGAGCCCGACAGCAGAGCTGTCCCCTCCTGTCAGGAGCTGTGCAGAGCCACAGGGTCCCCCCCTGAGCCTCCTTCTCTCCAGGCTGAGCCTTTCCCAGCTCCCTCAGCTGCTCCTCCAGGACGTGCATGGTTTAACAGAGCTCCACGTGAGCAGGTGGATCAGAGCCAGCGGTGCAGGTACAGCTGTGCTGTCACCCTTCCCCATTTTCATGCGCCAGGACAAAGATCGACGCAACACCCATTTTATATGGGGTGACTGCACAGTCCTTCCACGAGATGTGGGAGCACGTGTCCATGCCAGCAGGCAGGAGGGAAGAAATGATACCCACTGCCACACCCCAGGTATGCCACACCTGCACTTTGGAGCTTGATTTGAGTGGATTTACCACCGCCTATCAAGCCAGCCTTGTTCTGTCACAGTGCACCAGCTGAACTTGGGGAGAGAGGCTGTGGGCGGCCCTGAGCTGCAGCATCCTCCTCAGAGGGGCACAGCAGAGTCAGCAGAAACTCCTGAACCTCCTGGGCTCTGCTGTCAGGCCTCAGCCAGAGGCAGGGACACCTCCACTGTCCCAGGTGCTCCGAGCCCCAACGTCCAGCCTGGCCTTGGACACTGCCAGGATCCAGGGGCAGCCACAGCTGCTCTGAGAACCTGTGCCAGGGAAGGATTTATTCCACATACCCAACCTGAGTTTCTCCTCTGTCATTGTGAAGCCGTTCCCTGTTGCCCTCTCCCTGCAGATCCTGGTGTCCAGTCCTTCTCTGGCTCTGCTGTACACCCCTTCAGACACTGGAAAGGGCTGTGAGGTGTCCCCAGAACCTTCTCCCCTCCAGGCTGAACAGCCCCAGCTTTCTCAGGCTCACAGGGCAGCTCCAGTCCCCTTACCAACTCTTTGACCTCCTCTGGGCTTGCTGCAACAGTGCCGTGTCCACTGGGACACGGAACAAGCCTTGGCAGGAAACCTTCTCCCAGCCATTGTGACAACTGAGACAGGGAACCCCTTGGCACTGCTTGTTTTGTGGGAGTAGGATTCTGACTGCTGCTCAGCTGAACGGATCCTGTGAGGCTCTCACCAGTTCTGAGGCTCTGGACTATGTTTCTCATATTGCAGGTCTCAATTTCTGCCCCGT